TCTCCAACTGAGGGAGCTAAGAAATCGGTCGTTTCGGTGACGAGGGAAGGGAGGAGGGGCGGTTTCATCGCCATGAGAAAGGAGGGGTTGTTTTAGGGGCGGGGGAATGGGGTGGTTTCGATGGTGAAGGTGGGTCGCCCGAGCGGTTTTAGGGGTTGGGAGGGGTCGGTCAGCCGTTATCGGTTGTTAAGCAAGGCGGACGATCGAATTTTGGTGGGGTTGGGGTTAACGTTTAACGGTGGGGGAAGGTGAGGAGGGATGGTGGCTGGCTGGGAAGGGTTTTTTATTATATTTTTCTTTTTTTCCAAAATAAATTTGGACCAATTATGTTGCGATACATGGCTTTTACAAAATAAAAATCACTCTTTCTTTAGGTCACTGGTACATCGACCTAGTGAAAGAAAATCCACCCAAAAGCTCATAGTGCTCCCAAATAAACGTAAGTTGGAATTTTTAAGAGTAAATCGCTGAAAGTTCGGATAAAGAAATTAAAGTGAATTTTTCTAAAAAATAAAACTTAGATTTTGGAAGCACCCAATATAATAGATCAAAAAGCGGATCGGAGACAAGTCGAATCAGGGTTAATTGTAGGATGAAATGAAGTCGTTTGACTCTTGGAATTGCCCTTTTTAATCGCTTTAGTTTTAATAAAAATGTGTTCCTTTAATGGAAGTGGTGTTACTTATGTTTTTTGGGAGATGGAGCAAAATTTCAATTTCCGGTTTACATAAACCCTTGTTAAGGAGGATAGTAGTAGGTGATGTTGTTAAACCCATTTGTATGTGATGACGGTAAGAGTCATTACAACATCATGACCTTGTATGAGAATATATATAAGATATGGTTTTGTCAGATCGCAAAAAAATGTGATTGACATGCATGAAGCAAAGATCTCAAGAGGATTTCATACATTTGAATTATTGGGGTCCCTTAGGATAAGACCTACTGATTTTGGGTCGTCTCTGTCATTTCAGGAACATTCACAGACTTTTAATTGTATATTAGAAAAGACCTTTTTTTTTTTAATAAAGATTGATTCATAAATAAAAAGTCATACGACATCTACATAAAGATTTAAATATACATACATGACAATCGAATCAAATAAAAAAATCCTTTCAGCAGAGCTACGATCCTTGTTGCAAATCGTATATTCTTAATATCCTCTTTCATATCACTGTGATTTACAGCCTCTTCGACGAGGGGGTCAATCGATTTGTCGTAGTCGTGAAGAAAATTTTCGTCTGATTCATGTCATTGTAGTTGAAGGATTAAGCTCTTTTTCGATTTTGCACAAATCTTTACCCATGAAACAACTTGTACCATACTATAGGCGTCGTTTGGAGTGCGCCTACTTAAGTATGTTGTGAATATGCTTGACACTCATAGGAAGTAGGAATTAACATACGATTAGGGACACGATTAGGGGCAAAGCAAAGTAGGGAGCCGCCAACAAGTTGTTAAGGAACTTGTAAACCGTTCACGGATCATTATAAGGCAACCACGATAAGGGACAACGAAAGGCAACAACGATTGACCCGTGAAGGTTACACCCCATTCATAATCAATAAGATTACTAACTCCATATGGTTCGGAACCACGAAAGGAGGATCAGGGATGATGGTACGAAGTGAGTCATGGAGTCACATTCGCCCGTATTGGCCTTTACTCGATTTTATAGTGAAAAGTATTCCTTGCGATTTCAAAGGCATACAAACAAAGATTCAATTTGCTCCAAATTAAATTAGGCTAAATTGGTTGAATATTAATGCACATATATAATTCTCTATATCGTGATTACTTGATTAAACAATAAGACTAAAAAGGAACCTAAACCGGTCGTCCAAATTATCTTATTAAGCGTTATATCCAATTACATATTCACTTTAAATATGCAATACGGTGATCAACAAAAAACAATAGAATTAACATTAATATTGGAAGCAATTTAACCATAATAATGTTAGTCAAATCAAAGCATAATAATAAACCTAATCATGATACCAGCAATAAGAATAATAATAAGAGTAATTAAGTGAATTAATTACTCACGTTCCATGCTTCTTTAAATTGCTACATCATGAATCAAAACATTAGTAACTTCACAGAATAATAAATAAAATTGAAATAAGATTAAAGGAAAATAGAGTTGATTTGGTCCAAACCCTCAATCGGTTCTACCTTTCACGCCTTGGTTTAAGTATGGAACTTCGGGTGTTGTATGGACTCCTTGGAGTGCTTAGGGAAGGAATAGTGTAATTAGGAGAATAGGTTTAAGGCTTATAATATGAGAGAGAGAGAAAGAGAGATAAGAATATGTGTTGGTGCCTCGAAACTGAGAAATCAGCCTCGTATTTATAGAGAAAATATGAGGGATGAGGTATAGAACCCTAGAAACGAGGCGCTGTGAAGATACAAACACTAGAAATTGTCGTGTCAGGGAAGAATTTCCGTGGCTCGGAAAAATTTGTCGTGGCGCGCCAAAAACCGCCACGGCGCGGTAATTTCCAGTTTTTATGAGTTTTTTAAACCATGATAACTTTTGATCCGTAAATCGGAATAAGGCATATAATATATATTTGGAAAGATCTTCAAGTCTACTTTCCAACAAAATTAGAATCAGGTCAAAAATATTTGTAGATTTTATGTTATGGCCGTTTTAGTGCAAGGGTGTCGGTTTTGGGCAGAATTATAGTGTTTTGCTCATATCTTCTCCGTTTTAAATCGGAATTGGGCTTATGATGTACCGTTGGAAAGATTATTTCAATACCTATACAACAAAATAATATTTGGATCAAAATTATAGGGCCACAAAATCAGTTAAGCTCGGTTTTGTGATGTGGACACGAAAAGAGGAAAATAAGTTATGGTTTGGGGAAATGGGCTAAGAATTGGGTTGGTTTATGAAATGTATTGGATTGAATATGTATTTAAGAACTCCAAAGATTAAATACTCAACCCGACCAATAATGGCGATGAAAGGTTGTTCATCATCGGTTTTGGTTTTGGGGAGACATTTTCAGGTCTCTACACATACTAAACTTAGAAAACAAAAACAAAATTAAAACATAGTCCACCATATGGGCACTTACTACACTCAAACCCACAATAGGGGTACTTAGAACCTTTAAGAGTGTAGTTTTATTGAATTCAATAATAAAAGCATAAAGAAATTAAAGGGAAAGGGTCGGAAATAACCAAATTTTTAAAGAAATTTGGCTATTTCAGCCTACGAAACACTTTTTTTTGAAGAAACCTAGAGAGTAAAAAGAGAGAAAATGGTTGTCTTTGAAATTTCTATTTAAAAATTATACATGTTAGAAAAGACCTTGCACAACACGAAACATCATCACCAACTTCCCTCGCTCTATCAATAGTCCCAACGCATGTTTAAATGTATGTTGGTAAGCTTTATTTTCGTTGTCCTCTCTCGTTATAATAGTTTAAAGGTAAATGTCGTTAATGACCTTAGTTGGTATTGTGTAAGGGGTTCTTATGCCTATAGTAACTCATGTTACTTTACTTTCCTTTCGTTTGTTGTAAACTCAGTTTAATTAATGAAATTTCAGCTGTTTAAAAAAAAAATTAATACCTTACAAAGAATTGATACAAGCTTTGGTGTGGGAAAATAATACTCTCTCCGTTTCGCATTAATCGTAACACTAGGGTATTCACAAAGTTTAAGAATTTATAAGGTGGGGCCTAAAAGAGAATTTTTTTTTTATAATATAAAGTATTATTAGTAAAAGAGAGAAATAATGAAAAAGTAGTGTAAGTGAGGTTGGTTAGAAAGAGAAATAATAAAATATTTATGAAAATGGGGTTAGGGAGAGAGAAATTATAAAATAATGGTGGGTCTTTTCCATGTATAGAAGTGTTGCAATTAATATAAATGGATGAAAAATGAAAATGTTGCGATTAATACGAAACGGAGGGAGTATTTGAGAGATGAAATAATCAAGGAAAATCTATACTAATCTATACTAATATATTAAAAGGCATTCCTAAGAAAGTCTATGTGCCACGTAGGCCCTTTCATAACGCCACATCATCCACTCAACTTCTTATTACGCCATGTCATCCACTCACGCCACATGGCTCTTCCTTCCATAGGTTTCTCATTGCATGTCATGCACTTATATTTTGAAAAGAAAATTCACCACAAAATTTGGACATGCAACCTCTAATTCTAGAGCTAGGCATCTTACCACCAAGCTATGTGTATTTTATATTCCTTTTGATACAAAATATAATATATATAACAAATTTATTAATAAGAAAAAATATAATGACCCAAGGCGTTGCCCGGGCCCAAATACTAGTTAATACTAGGGGTGAGAAAAAATTCCGGGTACCCGAAATTGGAACCGAAACCGGTTAGGAACTGGCGGGTCTGGAACAGAAATTGGACTCGGTGGTTCCAATTCCGGGTAATAAACTAAGGAATCGATTGCAACCGGTTCCAATTTCAATTCTCAATTTTTTAAACCTAGAACCGGTTGGGTACTTAGTTACCCATTATATATTAAACTAAATATATATAAAAAATAAAAATATGTTGAATGTATCTAGTTAGTAAAATAAAAAAAAAGATATATTATTAATACCTAACATAAATAAAATAGCTTCATACATATATGAATATAAGTATTAAACGCTAAAAATGAAAGTTGAGCAAAATAAGTATTATAATTGTATTAAATTTTAACATTTATGTACAAAAGTAGGTACCCGGAATCGGAACCGATACCCGGCGGTTCCAATTTCAATTCCTAAGTTATAGGACCCGGTTGAAGTGGTTACAATACCAATTTTGAATTTTAGGATTCGGTTCCAATCAATACCGGCTTCGGTTCCTAAAATTTTGATCGGCTACCCAATTTGCTCACCCCTTTAATACTTTTAAAAGTAGTTTACTTAAAACCCTTATAAAACCCACCCTGCCTCGTGATTAGACAATCAGCCCCATTTATTTATTATTAGACGGATCTAACCCATATGGCCATATTATAACTGCGGCTTTTAACGGGGCTCCAAGGCCTCCATTCCTACCTCTCTCCTCTCAGTTATTTCATTGAAATGCACTCAGCGTTCTCCATTGAAGCTTTCTCCGTTGAATCTAATTCTTGTATCCCCCATTGAAGCAGCTTCTAAAGTAAGTTGTTTGTTGTTGTTATCATCATATCAATTTCACATATCAATTTCCATTGAATCAATATCCCTAAAATTATGTATTTTTCGAGATAATTGAATTATGAAATTAGATCTCTTTTCCCTGGGCTTAGGGCGGCCGCCCCTCTTGCCCTGCCTCAGGGACGGGCCTGGATCAATTTTTGGTGTAATAACTCCTTCAGGCTGTAAAGGTAGTGGCTGATTGAATGATTGTTGTTTTGGAAATTTGTCAACTTTGTCAATTTAGCATGTCATCCTATTTTTGCATTAGAATAAGACTGATGAATTATATAGAATGAAGGGTGCTAAGAACGGATGCAAAAATGTATCTACTTTGTATGCTTTCAGCTTCCATGTCCATAGGATGATGATTTTGAGGATTCTTAAGATTATAACATTGCTATTTTTTTAATTTGCTTCTAATACTGCATTGTTACAAGATAATAGTTTGCTTTGATTATATAATTTGATGGATGAAAAATTAGACATTTTGTGTAACTGATTTATGATGAGTACCTGACATATCTATGTACACCATTGTTATTAAAATCCCGATTTAAATCTTAAAATCTTACGATTTTACGATTCATTTATGTCATATGATTCGATTTACGATTCTACCCGATTTTACATATTTCTGTTGACTAGAGAAATCCTTACAAGTTTAGATCATGCATATATAGTTTTTTGTAAATATATATTGTTAATTATTGGTTGCTTGATGGGTAGACAACTATTTTCTATTAATAATTAGGTTTCAAACTTATAATTTAAATATATTTTATTAAATTTAGATATGACGTTTTGATTATGCATGTCGGTCTACGATTCGATTTTACTGAGAGCCCCTTTCGAATCAAAGTAGAATCCCGATTTTAATAACTTTGATGTACACTATAACCAAACTGCCGATAGGATTGAATCAATGCTACTTGTTTGTTGAATGTAGATCAGCCCATAAGAAGTCAGGCAAGTGAGGCGTAGGCTCATAACATCAATATCAGCCCATAGATCAGCACATGCATCTTTCTTTCCTTTTGTGCAAGTAGATGAGTCTTAGGCTCATAACATTAACGTTTTTTTTTTTTGTTGATCTAATTGAATTCAATCATGTTAAGTTTGTTTCCCTTACAATTGCGCTGTTTCTCATGCAATTGCTTTATATGTGATATTCTGGTGTTTGGGATTTTAATTAATTTAGGTTTTAATTAGTTGAAACTCTGCTTGTATTTTTTGCCCTAGTTTTGGGTTTAGGCCTTTGACTTTTGGGGGATTGGTTGATTGCATATTTTTTGCCCTAATATCAGGCATTATGCTTGACTAACTTTTGTGTCTTAACACATTGTATGCTGCATTATATACATGGGATGAGATGTTAATAATGCTTCTTCCTGTAGCCAAGGAGATGGGAAGTCAATAGAAATGTGTATGGCTGATCTATGTTGCTTCCATATTGCCTGATTTCAAATTTTCCACTGTTATTTATATTGAGGTCTTTCGAATCCTTAGGGGTAACATTGGTCTGATGTTGAGGAGGTATTGGAAATTTGATTATAGATTTTGTGTCGGTGGTGCAAAGAATGTAGTATGGAAACCTATGTGCTCGAGTTCTATGGACTTGGCAAGAAATATTCCTACACAGTTATGCCAGACTTGGCAAGAATGCTCAACAGAGCTATGTTGGACTTGGCTGTTTTCAGAGACCTCTCAATTTTATTCCCCAATGAAGTGTCCAAATGTTTTCTTGCCTCATATAGGGGTGTATTTGACACCACTAATTTAGGTGTATCAAAAAGTGCTTGAATATAAAGCATGTCATGTAATTATGATTTTTCCAGCAACAACCCCCACAGGGATCCTCCTCCTAATTAGTTTGTGGTTTCTGCGGAGCAGATTGAGGAACTAGAGTAAGAAGGATTCTCTGAGATATGGTTTATATCTACCCTTCTTGCAATGTGTACTTATTTATCAGAGATGACCATTGGGCTCCTAATAGTCCTGAAAAGTGGAAGTTATATATCTTCTCCCTCTGTTTTCTGTCAGCAATTCAACACATGCTTAGACTTTATACTGTCTTTCGGCTTTCAAATGTTCAACAAGGTCTAAATTACAGAATTTCAACTCTTTTGCAGGCTGTAAATCTGAAGAGCTCAGAGATATTGATCATCCTAATATCCAGGTAAATGATCTTGCAATGCTTAAGTAACAGTGTCTCCATAATCTCTAAAGACTAATGTGTCAATGATGCTTGTCCAGATCTGCAATGAAGGTCGCCAAAATGCGCTTGCGGAACTCTTAGAAGTATTGACTGAGGTATGTGAAACTTATAAATTACCTGACCTTCATGAACTATAACATGAATGTAATTTCTGTTTATATTTTACTGTTGAGCATGGTAAATTGAGACATCATCGAATTTATACATACAGTAAGGCAACAATTCCGCTTATCTAAGTTATACATATAGTTAGGTTAGTAAATTTTTACCTTACTATGTATATTTTGGTGATTTTTAATCCTTTTTTGTATATTAAATAAATTTTCCATGTAATCTATTAGCCAAATTTTTGCCTTACTGTGTATATTTTGGCGGCTCCCTACTTTATCTGCCCCTAATCGTTATCCCTAATCGTATATGTCAAATCCCACTTCCTATAATTGACCAGCATATTCGCACATGCTAAGTAGGCGCGCTTCGAATGATGCCTACAATTAGTTGTCTCATAAGATGGATTGCCTCCACAATCGATGTTCCAAGCATAAATCATAATTGGTTTTCTAAGATCTTTACACTTCTCCTTAACCTTTGCTCTATTACTCGCTCCCAAAGTTTGATCTCTTGATAGTTAGCACAATCTTGGACATCACCTCTGTTCTTATACAAAGGTATTTGAGTACTTTTTCTCCACTACAAAGGCATCTTATTACAGCCCTAAATCTTGTTGATGAAAAAGGTTGTTGTTAACCATTCAATTCCTCTTTCTCCCAAACATCTTCAACCTCAATAAGTGTCCTACCGCTTTCTTCAATCCCATCTTTTTAATGTAATTTTGAATTCTCCCTTTCGAATCCTTCACATAAACTCCTGATTAACCATATCATGAGGGACACTAGTATCACCAATATCTTGGGTTCGATCTCCATTTAGTAGGTTATCAAAGTAAAGACTTTCACCTATCCTTTATCTCCTAACCTCCAACAAGAACTCTTTGGTCAATATCCTTTACACACTTGACCTTTCAAATATCCCACGTCTTTCGATCTCTAATACTAGCAAGTCTATAGATGTCTTTTTTCCCTTCATTTCCAAGCATGCATAAAGATTTTGATTCACCTTTGCTATCGCATCTCTTACAACCTTCTTTGCTTCTCTTCAAGCTTCTTCATATTTCTCATAATTTTCGTCTCCTGCATTTCCCAACATCTTATAGCATTTTCGTTTCTCTTTATTGCTTGTCGCACTTCTTCATTCCACCAAGATGTGTCCATACTTGGTGGCATCTCCTAGGATTTCCTTTGCCACTTCCTGTATGCTATGCTCCATTTTAGTCCACATTGAATCTACATCCAAGTCAATGCTATCAGACCAAATTCCGGCGTCGTCCATCTTTCATACAAATTTTCCTCACTAAACAAAAAAATATGAAAAAAAAAAAAAAAACAATTCGAGCATTTCTCGGAAGATTGGGACATTCACTAGTTTGGTTTTCCTTAATGAAATGAGCACTTGCACTAATAGTATATAACAAGTTTAAAGCTATTGAGTATTTATACCTATTAATCCGTATATATTTTGCCAACAAATCACAATAGTGACATCGAACATAGTAAAAAATTCGATAAATTGATAAATTGATGAATGAGACAAGTATTTTAATTTCCGAGAAATACATAATTGTACAAAGTTACAGGCTACCTTAATGGATATAAATATGGTGAAAAGTAGAGCTGATCAAGATGGGCAACCAGCCCGTTGGCTCGACCCAAATTTGGACAGGCCATGGGTATAACTTTTTGGCCTGGCGTCGAGCCTAGCCTTGAAATTTTTTTTGGGCGGGCCATGGGCAAACATGTATAACAGGTATAGTTATTTTTAGGCCTCATCAGAAGCCCGGTCAAAAGTAACGAGTTTGGGCAAGGATTTTCAACCCAAACCTTGGCTCGGTCCAAACTCCAAACCCAACCCGCCCCGTCCAATGATCACCTCTGGGCTTGGCACTAAAAAGAAAAAGAAAGAAACCGATGAACGTAGAACTATCTGTCTTCCTCCTCTCTCTCTCTCTCTCAATTTCCCATTAAAGCGCACTCCACGTTCTCCATTGATACTTCAATCCTCCATTGAAGCAGCTTCTGAGGTAAGTTATTGTTTCATTTTATAATCATCGAATATCAATTTCACAATTTAGGGTTTATCGTTGATCTAAATTAGTTTAACTGTCAGTATAGTAAATTTAGGGTTCGAATTTTTGGACTATTGGTTCTAACTACATTACTAGCGATTATGTTGCTAGTGAAGAAAATTTTGAGCCTAATTTGATAATTGAATCAAATGTGCCCTTTCTTCCTAAATTATGCGATTTTTCGAACCTAATTTGATAAATTGAATCAAATTTGGTTGCTAATTGTTGCAGAACCTTCAAATGTTAGGATTGAACTTTGAAATTTGGTTGTTTGTTGCTTTGAAGGCTGTTACTTCTGAAAATAAATAATGGATGAGATTGCTAAGGCTGTGGAGGAAGTTAAGAAACAGTGGTCTGAAACAAGTTTTCAGACTCAAGGACATATTAAGGCGATAGAAGATTATGATAGTTCTAGAGACATTAGTGGAGAGAAGAATTCGCTTCCTCGATTGAACAGTTTGGCGCAGGATGGCCTTGCTATGCTTAGCTCATTGCAGCTCAAGCTTGATACATTGGCTCCTCAACTTTCATCCTACGACGAGGTTCAGTCTGCCCAAGCTCTTCTTGAGAACTGGAAGCAACAATCTCAAAGGTAATAGAGTGTGGGATAAAAAGTAAAAAAAAAAGGAATATAATGCAATTTTCATTTTATTTTTTTCATGATTACATTTACAATTTGAGCATTGTTTTTATAATCTAGCTTGCGAATTGCTTTGAGGAATGCTAATTTGCAAGCGAAGGTGAACAGCAGGAAGACTGCTCAGAAAGAGGTAATAAAGGCATTCATAGTTATTTTTTTTACTCAATTTCTACACCCTCTTTCTATTTTCTTGTTTCTTTGCAAATGGTTTCTTATTAATGACCTTCATAATGGTACACTTTGGCTTTGCCACGGTGCTTAGTGAATTCTTTAAGTAGAGTGACAAAAAAAGGTCATCCTTCGGAGATCTTTGATTACCTTCGTAGCCGATTATAGAGTTGTTGGCTTTGTACTGAATGATTTTTTTGATTTTAAACATCTGTTTTGTGCTGTTATTTAAAAACCACCCTATGTATACGTTCTGCTTTCATCTCCATCCAAGACAGGCGCTAGCTACTAAAACATGTTCTGTATGTCAAACAGTTTTCTTGATCAGAATTTGTTTGTTTGCTCTTTTCTGTAACTTATGTATGGGCCCATCTCCTTAGGATTTATTCGATGTTAATTTAATATTTGCAATGCCTTTTGCTTTTAAAAGATTGCTTGGGTTTATTGACTATAAAGGACATCATTGGCCCATATGAACATATGCTATGAGCTATTCCAAGGGATTATCGAATCTCTCTTTGTTGCTTAACTTGTTTTTACGATGAATGGACGAATGCCTTTTATGGAGTTCTATCATATTATCAAATTTTCAAGCACACTTATTGAGTTGAAGGCTTAAACACATGATCAAGGGTCAGAAATGTTCCGTGTTTCTAAATATTTAGCATGAGTATTGATCTTAATACTCGTAGAAGGAAATTGCATATTGAGAAAAGAATGTAGGAAACAGATAGGACCTTAAACCTGATGAAGTGAGGCTGATGGCAAGCATGATTGTGTTGAAATAGAGATGATTTTATTGAACCAACAACAAACCCAATATTCTGTTCCTATGGTTTTCATTACTACTATGAAGTGAGTAATTCTACAGAGTACACAGGTACTATAAAATTTTGAACATGAATCTTTAGAAGCGAAAAGGATGAGGTGATGAAAATAGAGGAAATGCTTAAACTACCTCTTATGTATTTTGAATGGAAAGCTTGTGTAGGTTCACTTCCCATTGACCTTTTAAGTTTCATCCATGGACTTCATTTTTCCCCAGCCCCAGGTCCCATTATATTCTTCTATTTTTACACCTACAAGTTGGTAATAATTAATCTTTGTTTCCATAACCTCATAAGTGCTACCGTGCTATTCAACTGATTATTATTATCTTTAAAATTCATACTTGAGTTGACTCTAAGAAGGGAAGAATTTGCAATGGTATTATTAGGAAATTCATGAATACCGGAATGAGCTTCTTCTTTTAGGAATGTAAAACATCATTTATTGTCATTATTTTCTAATTTTCATGATATGTTTAGGGGTATATATAAAGGATAAAGAAGAATACTTAACTCTATTAAATTCAGGAATCAACAATTTTGGGCTTTGTTAGGAATCTTCAATCACTGCTTATGTATAAGATTTTGTCTCACTGTGGCCAATCTGTTTTTCAGAGGGAACTTCTTCTAGGCGGTGGTAGCGAGTCTACTGCACGAAGACGCAATTTGCAGTATGTGCTATCGTTATTGTGAATTAGACACTGAGATATTGCTGTACATTCTCTTTTAATCATACCATAGTATGGGAATTTAGCTTAGTAATGATTGCATTCTATTGTATTTAAGGACAAAGGCCGGGATGACGTCTACAGCTGAAGGCATTACTGAGAGCCTTCGTCGCAGTCGCCAAATTATGGCTCAGGTCTGTACTATTTGTATAATGTTGGGTTATTATACATTTTATGTCAATGTAATATTAATTGAAGAACTCACATTGTTCCTTTACTCTTGTCTTTCTCTAAGCATAGGAGTTGGACAGAAGTACAAGTACATTAATGACTTTTGGTATGTTGATTCATCCCTAGTTTTCTCCCCTTTTCTTTCCCCTGGACTACAGTTTTCTGCTTTTGTTGTTTCTGTTTGCAAAGTCTCTTATTTTTCTAACTTTGGCCAATTTTTAGATGCCCAGCATATCTGGGTCACCTGTGTCCTGTAAAGGAGGTGTAAAAAGTCTCGAGATATTTTTTTTATCAATTTGGCTTTTCTGGATGTAATTGACTTATTTCCCTAAAACTCTTCTGTTTGGTTAGCTATTTTCAATGTTCTGATTTTCATGAACAAAACCCCAGAGGTTATTATTATATCACTTGTGCCCTTATGGGATTAAGGCTTTGATTGATTGATTGATTGTGCCCATGTTAAGGAAGAGAGCAAGCAGTCCTACAATTAAGTTCCACTTTGGTTTATTGGAAATTGTTTCCCATGGAATGATAAATTGCTGATCTACTACCAAATGGGTTTGCAGTATTTTGATTTGCTGCTGAGTTTCAATGGGAAAGCCCATGAGTTTTGCTAGCAGATTGCAATGTGATATTGCTCTATGAGATTAAACATGACTGTGAAATTGCTGGATCAGGATAATGATATGTTACTTATTTGAGGTTAATTAGATGTCCTTTTTATATACTAGGATATGGGTAAGTTGCTAATTTGAGGTTTGATTAAATGTCCTTTTTAAACCTGCAGAGGAATCGACTGGAACATTGAAGAAAGCTGAAAGTGAATACAAAGGACATCGATCATTGTTAATGCGGACACGTAACCTACTTTCCACGATGCAGCGCCAAGACGTTATAGACCGGTATACAAGTTCTTTCTTTCCTTTACTTTCTTTGCCATTTCTATTGAATTTTCTGGAATTTAAAGAGAACACTCTTTTCTCTTTGCAGTGTCTTAATTGTTGTAGGGTTCCTCGTCTTCTCTCTAGTTGTTCTTTATGTTGTTTCAAAGCGTATTGGAATATTGAAACTGCAGAGAGTAGTTGTTGCATCCTTAAAAGCAGGTATGTATCGAGGTGCTGGTGCTGGTCAACGAGCGGCGGATGGACTCAATGTTGTACAGCATGATAATGCACCTCCAGCAATTGGAGCAAACCCCGCTCAAAATGTCTTGCGTGATGAACTTTGAATACTTTGTTATTCTGTTCTTTTAAATATTATACGAAGTGTAAATTTTCAATTTTCAGAGGGAAAAACTATTCCATAACCATTTGTTTATCACTTTTATATATAGTTATATACTATGTTAGTGTGTTGATTCTATTTACAGCATTGAATTAACATGCTGTCTTGTGAGACAGGAATTTTAAAGGTTATTATTACTCTATTGACATACTAATGAAGACATTAAACCAAAAACAAAAGCATGACGTGGAATTGGATTTGCTATGTTCTGCAAAAATATGACACCTACTGTATTTTCGTTTAATTCATGGATAAGTATTTGTACATACCCTGATACCCGGTAACATTTTTGTAAATAATGTGAACTTTCTATAAGATACCAATAAGTAGTATGAATTATACCATTAATTGGTATAATGGCATTACAGTATCTTCTGGTGGTATAAATATGTCATGATATCTTTTTAATTGTACAAATAAAATGCACATAATATACAGTGGCGGACTTGGGCTTAGACCTGGTGGGTCAAGTGACTCACCAGGCCCAAAAAAAAATTTTAAGTTATTTAAAAAAAAAAAAAATTAAAATCAGTTTTCCCCAAAAAAACCAAACACCTTCAAGTCCTAGCCTTCTTCAGTTCTTCTCTTCGCCATTGCCAATTCGCCTCTTCCCTTCAATCCTTCATCAATCATCTGCAACTCCAGTTCTTCACTTCTTCATCAAAGAGTAAGTTTGTAATTTTTATTGTTAATTTCTAATCTTCAATTTAATTCATTCTAATTAGTTAATTTTATTAAACTACAATCGCAATCTTCAATTTAATTCAGCCAATTCGCTATTTCGCTGTGCGGGCTGTGCTGCTGGCTGCTCCGCTGCTCGCCGACGCCTAGTCGCCTCAATCAGCGCCTGCCGCCTCCGGCTCTGTCTCTGAAACAATTTAATTGAGATCTTTTCTTTTCTTTTCTTTGAAAGTTGAGATCTTTCAATTTAATTTTCTTTTCTTTGAAAGTTGAGATCTTTCAATTGAAGAAGAAGGAGAAGAACAAGAACAAGAAGAAGTGAAGAACCCCAGTAAAGCAATGGTTGCAGAGCCTTGGTTACTGAGAATGGGGAATCAGGTAAGTAGCAATCTGAAAAACTCCCTTCTTTTACACCCAACAAGCACAAGTAATAGTAGTAGTAGAAAGAAGAAAAGTAGCAGTAGTAGTAGTTGCTCTAATATTGGTATCTTGTCACTTGAGGTTGCTAATGTTATGTCAAAATTGGTCCATCTTCATAACTCAGTCTCTGATGAAGAGATCTCGAAACTGAAGCATGAATTGATTAAATCAGAGGGTGTTAAGAAATTGGTTTCTTGTGATGATTCTTACCTTTCAGAGCTTGCTTATTCTGAGAGGGTAGATGATTTGAATAGGGTTGCTGAGGTTGTCTCTAGGTTGGGGAAAAGATGTACTGAGCCAGCCTTGCTTGGTTTTGAGCATGTTTATGGGGATATTATTAGTGGTAGGATTAATGTCAAAGATTTGGGGTTTTTGGTTAAGGATATGGATAGTATGATTAGGAAGATGGAGAGGTATGTGGGTGCTACTGCTAATTTGTATGGTGAATTGGAGGTTTTGAATGAATTGGAGCTTGCTACCAACAAGTTCCATTTGAATCATAATCTTGATAGTCGTAGGGCTTTTGACCAGAAATTGAAATGGCAAAGGCAGGATGTTAAGCATTTGAAGGATATTTCTCTTTGGAATCAGACTTATGATAAGGTAACTCCGGCACGGCAGTCCGGCAAGGTATGTTCATCAATTGGATGTATTTTTTAGTACTATTATTTGGTTGTTCGGTAATTTTTTTTTTTTACATACTTGATTATCGATTGTGACCCACCAGTCGGAAATTCCTGGGTCCACCACTGATAATATATGCTAGCATATGTGTGCTATACCACCAAATAAATAAATAGTACTATTAAAAGATGTAATGATATGATACTTGTATAATCTTTCAATGATACAAAAAATATGTAAAGAGTATAACATATATTTTCATTAAGACTCCAATGGTAATATATATATATATATATATATAGTTTTATGCATAAGTGGTGATTTGGGTAAAAATACCCAAGTCAAGTGGCACAATCAAAAGGGGACACGTGTCACCCCAGGGGAGGTCCAAAAGGACCAATCACCAGCTGACACGTGACATCCCCAATCATCAGGGAAAAAAGTGGCTTTCAAAGGCCCAAATCCCGAGAACGCCGTAAAAACGGCACAACCCATTTACCTAGGTTGATGACCTAGAAAAGGAGACACTTATTCCTATGACCCTATAAATAGGGAGATTTACCCCAACTTGGGGATACGGTTATTTATTACACACAATCAATTCTCTCACATCAGAGAAACCACCTGATTTCGGGATCCGAAAAGATCTACTTTAACTTTCCGCACTTTTTACTCTCCTTCGACTCTTACTAACTTGATCATCGGAGGCGGTACAACCGAAGCTTCCGTTTGTTTGCAGGTACAGCCGAAGGGAATTCAGTCTTGGTGACGTAACTCTCCCGCAGGACACATAAAAAACCCCGAAACATTTAGCGCCGTCTGTGGGGAGAGTACCTCTAAGATGGTTTATCAAGAGACTATACCGCCTCCTGAGGACAAACGTCCAAAAGCAGAGGTCCATTCAGACCATGATACAGATTCTGATCCAGAGGTCGAAGTATATACGGCCAAAGATGGATCCCTTAAAACCAGACGCATCCGTTCCAAGGATAACAGGGAACGGGGCGATGACCAGGCGGGTCCGAGTAAGTCAACCGGCCAACCCCAAGCGGCAGGACAAATTGCTCACATCACCCGAGAAGAGTTCATGAAATTCATGACGAGCTTCAAGGGGGAGATGAAGGACCTAATCACCAAGAAAATGGCTGGTCCCAACAAGGGTCTGTCGGCAAAGAAGCCCTCTCACTCTGAGAAGGCTAAGTCGGTGAAGGACAGGCTGCCCATTCCGCATCCCAATACAAAGGAGAGGGGTAGACCTTTTATCGATTGGTCCAAGTTCCGCTTCCCAGACCAGGGAAAGAGGAAGCCCATCTGGCATATTGTGCCAGATGGCAGTAAGAAGACTTACTCTTATTCTCGACTTATCACTGAGCAAAAGAGAAACAGGCAATTGTTTGACTCGGCTTCGATGTCGACTATGCCAGACAGCTTCAGGAATACATCGATGAGGTATTCCCAATATGTACATGAGAACGTGTCAGGGGGCTCGTCCATCCATACAGGTCCTCAGATGATAGGCTCGGGTCCCGTTTGTGCCCCAACAGCCATACAGACCGTTTGCCCAACCATAGCAACCTGCCCTCTACGGGGGTCAGGCGGCATATTAAGTCTAGCCACTGGACTGGCAGCTCTGTCTGCTAAAACTTTGGGGAACAACCTTCTGCGTTCTCCAAGAAAGTAACCAAGGCGGCTCGGTCGGCCAAGGTTAAAAATGTCATGGTTGGTACTTATGATGCTACCTCCAACCCAAAAGACCACCTGATGGCCTACACCCACCTCATGTACTTTGAGGGGTTGGATAATGCTGCATGGTGCAGATGCTTCCTAGCTACGCTAAAGGGCATTACCCAACAGTGGTTCGACAATTTGCCGCCTGGGTGCATCAATAACTTCAAGATGCTTGTGTTCTTGTTTGCCTTTAACTTCTCCATGAATATACCCGCCAAATAGACAAGCCTTAACTTAGGCGGGGTACAACAAGGAGATAGAGAGGGGTTCCGTTCTTACGTCAGGCGGTTCAATCTAGTGAGAATCCAAATCCAAGGATTGTCTGACGACGTTGCATATACAGACTTCTTCAAGGGTCTGAAAGACAAATCAACTTTTAAGTTTGACCTCGTCCGGAAGAGAATCGCCACTCTTCAAGAGGCGCTGATGGAGGCGGAAGCTTATATACAAGCGACCGAATTCTGCTCCACCAGCAAGCAGTCGGACTAAAAGAAGTCTGGCAAACAAAAAGGGAGTCGACAAGATCAGCCGACTCAAAAAGCTAAAGAGAGAAAGAAAAGAAAAGAAGTTTGGGCAGTTGAGGACTCTGATTAGCCGTCCAAAAAGAAGAAGAAAGAATTTAAACTGTACGTTCCAAAGTACGAGTTTAACAAAGATCGCTACACTATCCTCATGGAAAAGAAGCCCGCGAGAATGAAAGGTCTGGCTAAAAACCGGAACAAGGACAAGTATTGTCACTTTCATGAGGATATTGGTCATGATACCAACGACTGCTATAGCCTCAAGCGGTTGTTGGATAGATTGGCTGATGAGGGTGTGCTAAAGTCTAACATCCTCAAATCTAAGGTGACCTTGAAGACGGACCCCAGGCAGCCGTCAAAAAAGTCAGCAAAGGCTGATAGTGGTTCGGGCACTGATTCAGATATGATCTACACCATTGCAGGCGGCTTTGCCTGTAGGGGCCCAACTATTAGAGGCACCAAGGACCATGTCAGACAGATAGATGTCAGCTCGGTCGATGAAGGCCAGACGTCTGCCGATACCTTTCCTGAGGTCATCATTTCCTAAAAGGACCGCGGCGAAGTCCGCCGGCCGCATGATCACCCCATTGCCATTGAATGTAAGGTAGCTGATCAAAAGGTTGGTCGGATCCTTATTGACACAGACAGTTCGTCTAACATTATCAGTTGGCGTTGTCTGTCCAAGCTGAAGTACAAGCCAGTCAGCATGCACAAGGTCTCTCACCCCTTGGATGGTTTTGGGGGTGGAGTTGTGCACCTAGTCAGCCACATTGATCTACCCATCCGGCTGGAAGAGAGAGGGAAAGGGCGCAATATGGTCGTCCGGTTCTTGGTTGTAGAAGAGCTGACCGCCTATCACATGATAATAGGTCGTCCGACTCTGAACGAATCCAAGACCGTCATTATTCCATCCCTCATGGTGCTAAAACTTGAGAAGGATGATGGCTCTGTTGGCTCCCTGAATGGGGACCAGAAGACGGCCCGAGAGTGCTATCTCTTAGACGTCAAGCCCACGGCAGTTGGCTAGGGAGTGGAGCCAATAGACCTTGACGATGTCAAGGAACTTGAGTCTGCCCCACCAGCAAGCGGCAAGAAAAGAAAGGCCGAACAGCTGGTGATTATCAAGAAAGAGAAGCAATAGCAATCACTGACTGGGGAATGGTCAGATGACCTCCTTCCCTAGCCATTAACATCGCTCTGGATGACACACGTCCGGAGCGAATTGTAAAGGTTGGGACGGCTACTTTTGTGATGTTGGGGGCAGACTTGCACAATCGCCTGGAGGAATTCAAGGACATTTTTGCCTTTGAAGTAAAAGAGATGCCAGGCATCAGCCCGGATATTGCTGTCCATAAACTCGCCGTTGATCCAAAGAAGAAGCATGTTAGGCAAAAGAAAAGAAATCACAGTGAGGAAAGATCTCAGGCGGCAGCCGCCGAGGTCAAGAAGTTGTTAGACGCTGGGATCATTCGGCAATGTCACTTCCCAAATTGGGTTGCGAATGTTGTTCTTGTAAAGAAGCCGAATGGAACCTGGCGCATGTGTGTTGATTACACTGATCTGAACAAGGCATGTCTAAAGGACAGCTATCCACTACCAAAGATCGACAGTCTAGTCGATTCTACACCCGGACATGCCCTGATGATTTTCATGGACGCTTACTCAGGTTTTCATCAGATACCCCTTTGGAAGAAAGATTAAGAGAAGACGACATTCGTCACTGATCAGGGGTTGTTCTGTTATACTGTGATGTCGTTTGGCTTGAAAAATACGCTTGCTACTTTCCAACAAATGATTAATACGGTCTTCATTAATCAAATCAGAAGAAATGTAGAGGCGTACATTGATGATATGATAATCAAATCCAAGATACAGACGGATCATCTTGTCGACCTCCGAGAAACCTTCACCACACTCAGGCGGCACAAGGTCATGCTCAATCCCAAGAAGTGTGTGTTTAGTGTTGAGTCTGGGAAGTTTCTCAGATTTTTTATTGATCAAAGGGGGATAGAGGCAAATCCTGAGAAGATACAGACGGTCATTGACATGAAGTCACCCCGCACTGTTAGGGAAGTTTAGAAATTAACCGGTTGCTTGGCGGCATTGGGGAGATTCCTCAGCCGGTCAGGTGAAAAGTGCCTCTATTTTTTCCAAGCAATCAGAAAGAAGACCATGTTTGAATGGGGAGATGATGCTGAGGCGGCCTTCAAAAAATTGAAAGAGCATTTGGCACTCCTTGCCAAGGCTTGTTAGCCCTCTGCCCAAATAGACGCTCTACATGTACCTAGCCGTCTCAGATCATGCTCTTAGTGTTGTTCTCCTTGCCGAGAGAGACGACAATTAGCTCCCGGTCTATTTTGTTAGCCATATGTTTCGAAATGCTGAACTTCGGTATTCTATGGTTGAGAAATTTGGTCTTGCTCTTTTCATGGCAGTCAAAAAGTTGAAGCCATACTTCTTGGCACATCCGGTGGTAGTCTACACAGACTAACCCCTCAAGCGGCCAACAACACCCTTAGAGTCATCCGGGAGAATGCTCAAGTGGGCTATTTAAATGCAAAGTCTTGAAATCACTTTCAACTAAGGAAGGCAGTGAAGGGTCAGGCGTTCGCCGACGTCATTATTGAAAAGACACGGCCGGTTGAACCAGAAAATCTTGATCAGGTCTGGAAAGTGTATGTAGATGAGAGTTATATTATGAATGGCTGTGGTGCAGGGATTATCTGTCAGTCTCTTGAAGGGGACAGGTATGAATATGCACTGTGGTTCAAGTTTCAAACTTCAAAC